CTTGACTTGATCTCTAACTAAAATCCAGCTACTATAACTATCCTACTATTAGCCTATATGGATGATACTGTCTGGCACTCAGATCATCCCAAAACTCTGCAAAAAATTATTAACGAAGCCTCTTCTTTATACAAAATCAACAATATTGAAGTTAATCCATCTAAATCTAATCTCCTTCACATCTTTTCCAAAAATTCCAAAATACCAAACTACCCACTCTATTTTAATAATCAAATAATTAATCCCAGAAAACCTACCAATATAATTAGATACTTTGGTATTTACTATGATAGTAAAGCTCTGCTAAACTGACACTAGATATGATTTATAATAAAATAGAAAACTTCCCATTACTTATTAGATTTAAAAAACTTCTCTCATCCCAAATCTAATCTCTATTCAACCTCATACTTCAACCCTTACTAGAATATCTTCTACAAATTATACCGATCCAAAAAAATATACAAATTAAACTTTCTCGCTTACTCTCTATACAAGCAAAAAAAATGCTCTCACTTGCTAAAAACACTAATAACATCTTACTATTAAACCCTTTTACCTTTAACTTACTAATATTTAATAACATTATTCAAAAAGTCAGTATTTCTAACATTGAACGTACTTTTAATTCTTCTTCACTTCTTAATGAAATTGGTATTTCTCAAATTAAATCCTGGCTTTTAAAAGTTTGGTGCCCTAGCCTTACCAAGGAAACACTTCTTCTACATTATAGAAAAACTCACAACTTCACTCTTCTCTTCTATATTATACAACTAGCCAAAAATAATATAGCAATCTTCTTGCTTCCTCAAACTACAATCTATCACCTATTTATTCTAGAATATAATTTCATTAAGAAGTGGAGAAGAATTAAAGATAAATTTAATATTAGAAACATTAACTTTTTGAATAATGTTGTTAAATATTGGTAAATTAAAGGTAAGAGGGTTTAGTAATGAAGTGTTATTAGTGTTTTTAGTAAGTGAGAGAATTTTTTTTGCTTGTATAGAGAATAAGCAAAAAAGTTTAGTTTGTATATTTTTTTGAATAGGTATAATTTGTAGTAAATATTCTAGTAAGGTTGGAGTATGAGATTAAATAGAGATGAAATTTGGAATAGGAGAAGTTTTTTAAATCTAATAAGTAATAAGAAGTTTTTTATTTTATTGTAAATCATATCTAGTGTTAGTTTAGCAGAGCCTCTATTATCATAGTAGATACCAAGGTATCTAATTATATCAGTAGATTTTCTAGAATTGATTATTTGATTATCAAAGTAAAGTAGATAGTTTGGTATTTTGAAGTTTTTAAAAAAGATATAAAGTAAGTTAGATTTGGATAGATTGACTTCAATATTGTTGATTTTGTACAAAAAAGAGGCTTCATTAATAATTTTTTGCAAAGTTTCAGAATAATCTGAGTGCTAGACAGTATCATCCATATAGGCTAATAATGGGATAGTTGTAGTAGTTGGATTTGAGTTAGAGATCAAGTCAAATAATAAAATAAAGAAGATTTTGAGAAAGTAATTTTTGAATTTTTGTAAGATAAAAGTTAAGATTAAGTTATAATAAATTTTTTAAAGAAGAGAAGAGTAGATCTCTCCTTGTTTTATACCTAATTTTATGTGAACTAGTAATGTTAGGCCATAGGCTATAATTACTCTTGCAAGGCAAGAGATATAAAGTTCTGTTATTAGATTTATACTGGCAACAGGAATGCTGATTCTTTGGCAAGCCTCTTGTAGATTTCCAATATTAATTTTGTCAAAAGCTTTAGACATATCCTGAAACAATATTCAAGCTTCTTTATTATGAGAAATATAATGTTCTATTGTATTATATAGGATTTGAATAGAAGTATGTATTGAGGAGTTTTTGGAAGCTACATAATTAAGATTAGAAAGAAAGTTATTTGATAAGATAATTTTATCTAGATGTTTAGTAAAAATTTTTGTAAAGATCTTTTTTAAGAGTTCAATAATAGAGATAAGATAGACTTGATTAAAAGTAAAGTTCCAGTTAGACTTTTTGGAAATAAGAAAGATATTAGAGAATTTCTAATTAATAGAGACTTTTTGAAATTAAAAGTATTTGTTTAGAAAGAATTGAAGGATTTTTTGTGCTTTTGGGCTAGCATGTTTAATATATTCGTAGCAGGTCTCAGAAGGACTTGCTGCTTTTTGGTTGGGTAAATTTGAGATAATTTCAGACCATTCCTGGGTTGAGATATTATTAAGTAGATTTTGATAAAAAAGTTTTAATTCAAGATAAGGTTGGTATAAGTGATAGTATTCTAAAAAAGGTGATATAGTGCTTAAAGGTTTATCATCAAAGTAGTTAAAGAAGTGATTGTGAATTGTATTAAGAATTTCATTATAATCAGTTAAGAAAAAGTTATCTATAAGAAGTCAGTCAATATTAATGTTGTTTTATTTTTCTAATACTTTTTTGTAAAAGATTTTTGAAGTTTTAAGGAAGGTTTTGTTGCAGTTTTCTATTTTTTATTTGATTTCATTATAGAGATCTTGTTGATATTCATGATTAAATACTAATTTAATACCGTATAGTTGTGAAATAACGCGCAGGGGTGTAATTTCGAATTTCAGCCTAAATTAAACTTAATTCGGGCCAAAATTCAAAATAACACTCCTGCACATTATTTCACGACTATATAGTAAGTAGGAATTTATTTTTGATTTGTAAAATTGTGAGGTTGTTGAATAGAAATAAGTTTTTAAAGTATTGAGATTAATAATTATAAAGTAGAGAATTGAAATTAGGTGAGGAGAAGTAGTTTTTAAAATATTGTATTTGTTTATATTTATAAAAAAGTAAAGATTTTTTTGTAGCAGGTTTGTTCTGAATTTCTTTAATTATATTAATTTTCTTAAAAGGAATATGTTTTATAGCTGCTTTAATTAGACCTTTATGAATTTTGTTCCAGTATAAGTTAAGTTGGTTTTGATTAGATATTAGATTAATTTTTGGGAAGATATATTATAAGTTTTGTATTGTATAATCTTCAAGGACGTGTTTAGAGCAGTTTTTCCATAAGAAAAGTTTATGTTTTTTCTGTTTTTGAGATTTGGATTTATTTAGAATAATTGATAATTCGAGGATGATGATCATAGGTTCAACAATAAAGTTTCAGTGATCTATCTGTAAGCCGATAGGCCTATGATTGGTCATATAAACCTAGCAGAAACTGTTTGATATATATTAGCTAATAGCTTACCGATACTTGGCATGTATCTGTCACCTATCAGCATGACACGTATCAATAGCTTTATATAACCTATATAAAAATGACTATAGGAATATTAGCTAATAAAGATATTGGAATTAACTTCGTTAATATTTGTATGATATTTATTATATAAAAATGAATATAGAACTATCGGCCATCCCAATATGGAACAATATTTCTATGATATTTATTATATAAAATGACTATAGGAATATCAGCTATTAATGATACTGGAATTAACTTCATTAATATTTGTATAATATTTATTATATAGAAATATTGACTATCTGATACTGAAATTAACTTCGTTAAAATTTCTATGATATTTAATATATAAGAATACCGGCTGTCCGATATCGAACTTAACTTCATTAATATTTGTATGATATTTGCAAAATTCCTATTGTTTTACTATATATATATAAATTTCAGCTTGGGTATTTAAAGCTAATACTGACATTTATTTATCTGATATTTATAAGATAGCAGTAAAGTTTTGACTTATTAAATTCTGATAATATTGAAAGCAATATAAATTTTTTTGTATATTATATACAACAAAAAGCTATATACACTACAATATCTATGTTTTTCAAATTAATCTAACTCAACATAATCCTCATCCTCCTTATCTTCTCTGCTATGTAAACCAAATTTACCACTAGGCATATCTCTCTTCTTTAGTTTTACTAATTAATTCTACAATTACTATTCTTATTGACAACCTAGTAGCAATTAACAACCTACTTAATTTCTCATCTCCAAAACTTATTCAAAACAAAAAACTAGGATATACAGTCAAACTCTCCTAAATGCTATCCCTAAATGCAACACCTCTCTAAATACATATCTTTTTTTGGACCCAAATAATATTACATCTATAGATTTTTACCTCTTTAAATGCAATACCTCTCTAAATGCACATGCTAGAGCTAGTCCTGACGATATGTATTTAGAGAGGTCTGACTATATATAGATTCAGATAATAGATATTAAGATTTTGCATTGTTAAAAAATTATCTGTTAAGATTTTAATATAGAAAAAGTATTTCGAGAAGTCATATTCTAGAAAGTTAAGTATATTAAAAGCTAAATTTTAGTTTATATTTGAGATATAGTTGTTAAAGAATTTGAAAAAGTACTAGAATATAAGTTCTTCAATAGTAATAATATTTTTGATAAAGGAACGTGTTTTGTAAGTTATAATATAATAATTCTAGAGGAAGCAGGTGGGAAAATTAAAATTTGTATAAGAAATTTTAAGAATAGGTTTATCTAAACCTTGTTTGGCTAGTAGATCGGCTTGGTTATAAATAGAGTTTTTTGAGTATAATTTAATTTTAACAGAAATAATAGTAATATTTTTGGTTAATTTGATAAAATTGATAATTGTAATTATAGTCAAACCTCTCTATAATTACACACATAGGATACAAAATAGTGTGATTGTAAAGAATTGTGACAATTATAGAGATCAAACTCATTATAAATAATAATAAACTGTTTTTAAAAAAATGAGTTTATAAAGAAAATGTGCTTATATAGGAGGTGACTATAAAGAGGTTTGACTGTATATTTGTCTTATATGAGTACGATCCTTTTCGCAACGAACATTATTAGTGCTGGTTTTTTCTGTTATGGATCAGTGAAACGTTACGTTTCCAACTAAATCGTAAATAGACATCAGCCAATCAAACGAATGTCTGAGCAACTATATAAAAAAGGTTGTAAATTATTTCTCTTTCCCCACAATGGCTTTGGTTGATCTTGCAAATGTTTCAGACTTGATAAAACAGGCCGTTCCTAATATTGACGACGCTATTGTTGAATACGTCTTTGGTTACCTAAACGAAGCACAGTCTGGGACTGATGGCGAAGATGCTATTACAGACTTTGTTCGGCCAATCTTAGTAGACGCAGGTGGCGAGGAAGAGAGGATTCAAAAATTATGCGAAAAATTATCGGAATTCTTTGTGCAAACAAATGCTTCGAATAATAGTTCTAATAACCAGGGACTTAATAAGTTAGAGCAACCCGTAAATATGCTTACAACAAATTTTATTTCTGCAACAGCAGGCTTAGCCGCTCAGAGTGTAGATTTAGAAGCCGTTAGTGGAAGAAAAATTAGTACCAGAGTTGATACCAAGAAATTAGAAAAAGCTGAAGCCAAGATTAAGTCCAAAATAGAGAAACGTGAACGAAGATCAAATTATGAAGCGAGTAAATTGCTTTCAAAGAAGAATAATGATGAATTCCTTATGCAAGTAAATCCTATATTGGATTATACAACGACCAAAGGAAAACTCAAGGACGTTAAAGTTGAAAATTTTGATATCTCATTTGGTGGGAAGAGGATATTGACAAACGCAAATTTATCTTTAACCTATGGTAGAAGGTATGGATTAATTGGAAGGAATGGTATTGGTAAATCTACTTTATTGAGAACTATGTCAAGAAGAGAAATTAGTGTTCCAACACACATCAGCATTTTACATGTGGAACAAGAGGTATATATGTATATTACATCTTTATGAACATTCTCTTTATTCATTTTTCAATTGGATCCCATTATAGATGGAGGGTGATGATACACCTGCGATTCAAGCTGTATTGAGTGCTGATATTTGGAGAGAACATTTGTTAAGTGAAGAGAAATCATTAAACTTGCAAATTAACGAATTAGAGCAAAATCCTGAAAAATTTGACGAAGTTACTCTTGAACAAAAAAAAGATGCTGCCAATACAAGATTGAAAGAAATATACCAAAAGTTAGAAGAAATCGAGAGTGATAAGGCTGAATCACGGTAAATTCAATTATTTTATTTCAAAAACTTGTTCTTTATATATTTTTTACATAAATAATCAAACAATTCATTTATAAAATTTAAGCGCCGCTGCTATTTTATCTGGATTGGGTTTTCCGGCAGATAGACATCGAAATCCTACAAAATTATTTTCGGGTGGTTGGAGAATGCGTCTTGCGTTAGCAAGGGCATTATTTTGCCGACCTGATTTGTTATTATTGGACGAACCGACTAATATGTTAGATGTAAGATAAGCGTTTGTGATGGAGTAATCGAAGTTACAACAATATCGCGTAGATGATGGTTTTTAACATCCAATGCGCGATTTTTACAAAGATTCCTGCTGTCGCGTGGTTAGAACAATACCTCAAAAAATGGCCGAGCACGTTGCTTGTTGTTTCTCACGATCGAGGTATAGAAGCAAGACGAACTTATACTAATTCTTTATTGATTTCCTTTAGTGAATTTGGTTATTCAAGACAATTTTCTTTTTATTATGATAGAATTCCTGGACGAAGTAGCAACTGATATTTTACATCAACATTCCGAACGTCTCGATTATTACAAGGGCAATTTTACGCAATTCTATGCTACAAAAGAAGAACGTCGCAAGAATCACCTACGTGAATATGAAAGCCAGATGCAATATAGGCAACACTTACAGGACTTTATTGACCGCTGGCGATATAATGCTAAAAGAGGTCCACAAGCTCAAAGTAAAATTAAGATATTGGAGAAACTTCCTGTATTGGAACCTCCGGAAGTCGAAGTTGGCGTCACTTTCAAGTAAGGTTATCATATGGATTATTTTCATTTATTCAAATCAATATATATGATGTATACTACCATAAATTCTCTTAATAGGTTTCCTAACCCCGATGCATTAAGTCCGCCTATCCTTCAATTAAATGATGTTAATTTTGGATATCCGAATGGTCCTACTATTCTATCGAGCGTCAACCTTTCTGTTCAATTAGATTCACGCATAGCTGTAGTCGGTCCAAATGGAGCGGGTAATATTTTTCCTAATTGATATGATAAATCACGCTTTTGTATGCATTGATTAAATTTAATAGCGAAATGTATTGAATTATTTTAAAAATGGATACGTAGGTAAATCTACTCTGCTCAAACTTTTAACGGGGATACTAGAGCCGCGTTCTGGTCTGGTGCACCGGCATGGACGTCTCAGATTTGCACATTTCATGCAACATCATGTAGATCAGTTGATTCTTGATATGAATGCAGTAGCTTTTATGGCTCAGAAATTTCCGGGGAAAATCGAAGAAGAATATCGACGTCAATTAGGAAATTTTGGCATTACAGGAATGACGGGTTTACAGTCATTGAAGACTTTGTCCGGTGGTCAAAAAAGTAGAGTTTCCTTTGCTTGCTTGGGATTAAAACATCCTCATATTTTGATATTGGATGAAGTAAGCATTTAAAAATTAATAATTTTGATCTAGTTTTCTCTGACATATTTGCTTAATATAATGGATATTCAAACACAGCCAACCAACCACCTCGATATGGATTCAATCGATGCCCTTACAAATGCTCTAAAAGAATTTAAAGGTGGAGTGATCCTTGTTTCTCATGATGAACGGTTCATTGATTCTGTGTGTACAGAAATTTGGGTATGTGAATCTGGAAAAGTTAGGAAATTTGAAGGCGATTCTATCAAACAATATAGAGAGATGATTGTGCCAAAAGAGGAACCGTAAATTATATTAATAAAGAAATAACTAGTATTTATTTTTTTTTGGAATAGTTTATTTATAATTTTAAACTGATTTTGGGTCAAAATCCCGAAAAACAGGTTTCCGAAGAATATAATACTGACTAAATCGGCCAGCATTATAGCTAACTTTATCGGTATTATGTTATTTCGAGAATCTGCTTTTTGGGATTTGACCCAAGTTCTTTTAAACTAGAGCCCGAAAGTAGTCTTACTAAAAAAATAAAAATAAAAAATGTTTAGGCGAGTTTATTATTTATCGTTATTGATTGTCTAATTTCAAAAAGCTTGATTTTTTAAAAACAATAATGTCCAAGCAACGGGATAATATTAGGGTTGTGGACACTTAGGGCATGCCTAGGTGCATGCCCTTATCATGTGATAATAAATAAATCCAAGATCCTATCTAGGACTTTTAGTATAGCTGGGCAATATAGAAATATTATATAAAAAAATAATAAAAAAACTCTAACTCTAATTTAAACTATAACCCTCACTCTAACTTTAACTATTTATAAATTTGCTTAAATTTTTAAATAGTTATTTTATATATTATAATAATTCTATATTGCCTAGCTATACTA